CCTTAGATGTGTGTTTTGGATCATTGTCATGTTGGAAAAGTGCATGACAAAGGCCACAGAGTGATGGTAGTATCTTCTCCTTTAATACAGAACAGTTCATCTGTGAATTCATGATATCATCAATGAAATGCAGCTCCCACGCACAAGCAGCACTTATGCAGCCCCACAGAAGGACACTGGCACCACTATGTTTCACTGTAGGCACCATGCATTTTTCTTTGTACTCCTCATGCCACACAGTTTTGAAGCCATCAGTTCCAAGAACATTTATCTTGGTCTCATCATTCCAAATTACAGAGTCCCAGTAATCTTCTTCTTTGTCAATATGGGCCCTGGCAAATTCTAGGAGGTCTTCTTTATGCATGGGGTTTAAGAGAGGCTTCCTTCGTGGATGACACCCCCATGCATGCCATTTCTCTGCAGTATACACCATATTTTGTCAAGGGAAACAGTCGCCCCAGTTTGACTTTCTACTTCTTTAGCTAACTGCAGTGAACTTGCATGGCGATTTTCTTCAACCCTTCTCAACAGAAGACGCTCCTGTTGGGGTGTTAACCTCCGTGGACGGCCTGGACATCTCTGTGAGAGGGTTGCAGTTCCATCTTTAACATTTTTGTATCACTTTTGCTTCAGTATTCTGACTGATAAGTAAAGCTTTGCTGATCTTCTTGTAGCCATCACTTTTCTTTTGTAAAGAAAGTATTTTCTTTCGCAGGCCTTGTGACATTTCTCTTCCATGTGATGCCATTGCTGATAGCATGAAATGGGAATAGGTTTCCTTTGCTAAGTACCACCCTTTTTATAATCAACTGGTGTCTGCTGGACACCTGTTTAATGAATAATTAGACTCACTTGTAGCTAATTTCTTGTTAATTAGGATTTTGTGGTCTAAATTTTAGCTTTGCTCCTAAGACTTTCATTGGGGTGCATTCATTTTTGCAACATGGTCTTGAATAAATTTGTTAAGGAAAATACTTTTTTGTGCATGAAAATTAACAAATCTTTTTTTGCAATCAATGGCCCGCATTTGTGGGAGTATTTTGTAGTATAGTGATTCATAGAAAATGTTGATTCTGAAATTAAAGGTTTTCTGTTAGGGTGAACTTATTTATGCTGAGTACTGTGTATATGTATATGTGTATATATATATATATATATATATATATATATATATATATATATATATATATATGTGCCTTGAAAAAGTATTCATACCCATTGAAGTTTTTCCAGATTTTGTACATTGCACGTAAATGTATGTTATTGGGATTTATTTGATAGACCAACACAAAGTGGCACATAATTGTGAAGTGGAAGGAAAATGATAAATGGTTTTCACACTTTTTTACAAATAAATATCTGAAAAGTGTGGCTTGTATTTGTATTCAGCCCCCTTTACTCTGATACCCCTAACTAAAATCTAGTGAAACCAATTGCCTTCAGAAGTCACCTAATTAGTAAATAGAGTCCACCTGTGTGTATTTTATTCTCAGTATAAATACAGCTGTGTTCTGTGAAGCCCTCAGAGGATTGTTAGAGAACATTAGTGAACAAACAGCATCATGAAGGCCAAAGAGCAGAGCAGACAGGTCAGGGATAAAATTGTGGAGTTTAAAGCAGGGTTAGGTTATAAAAAGAAATCTCCAAAGCTTTAAACATCTCATGGAGTACAATTCAATCCAACATCCAAGAATGGAAAGAGTATGGCACAACTAAAAACCTACCAAGACATGTCCGAACACCTAAACTGACAGGCCGATCAAGGAGAGCATTAATCAGAGAAGCAGCCAAGAGGCCATGGTAACTCTGGAGGAGCTGCAGAGATCCACAGCTCAGGTGGGAGAATTTGTCCACAGGACAACTATTAGTTGTGCACTCCACAAATCTGGCCTTTATGGAAGAGTGGCAAGAAAGCCATCGTTGAAAGAAAGCAATAAGAAGCCCTGTTTGCAGTTTGCGAGAAGCCATGTGGAGGACAGAGCAAACATGTGGAAGAAGGTGCTCTGGTCAGATGAGACCAAAATTGAACTTTTTGGCCTAAAAGCAAAACGCTATGTGTGGTGGAAAACTAACAGTGCACATCACCCTGAACCACCATCCCCACCGTGAAACATGATGGTGGCAGCATCATGTTGTGGCAATGCTTTTCTTCAGCAGGGACAGGGAAGCTGGTCAGAGTTGATTGGAGATGGATGGAGCCAAATGCGTGGCAATCTTAGAAGAAAATCTGTTAGTCTTCAAAAGACTTGAGACTGAGGTGGAGGTTCACCTTCCAGCAGGACAACGAGCCCAAACATACAGCCAGAGCTACAATGGAATGGTTTAGATCAAAGCATATTCATGTGTTAGAATAGCCCTGTCAAAGTCCAGACCTAAATCCAGATGAGAATTTGTGGCAAGACTTGAAAATTGCTGTTCACAGATGCTCTCAACCTGACCTGTTTATGTATTGTCATATGTTTATTTATATGGTTTTTATGAATTATTGTATTTATTCTGTATCACTGTGATCACTATCAATTAATACTATTGTAAATATTTGGGAAGTAGTACGCATTGTTATCTGCTGTAATAATGCTATAATACCTGCGGATCTCCTCTTTGTGTCCTGCATGTATAAGTTTGTGGGTTATAAGGCATTAAGAGGGGGGTTATAATCACCCTTGTGCAATAACGACTATTCGGGAATTTTTTAGATTATTGCATTTAATTACTCTTAGATTGTTACCCTTTATGATGCCTCTCACCCGGTCATCCGATTGATATTGTATACAATATTTTATTCCCTGGTGATCTAAGTGATATTGATTGTATTCTGTCCTCCGTTTGAATGGCGCTCGCGCATGCGCCGACGGCCGCCTATGACAAAATGGCGCCTGGAGTGGAGACATACGGTCTACAATAAAATGGCGCGTGGAGTGCTCATGCATCAGTTACCTTATATAAAGCGATGCTTGACGTCCCACACTGTAGGCACACCCCCTATGAATATGTGCTATTGCACGAAACTCGCCCCAGAAAAGGAGCTATAGCGTTGTGACGTCACGCTGCCGGCACCACGTGGGTCCCGGCGGCCATCTTTGGAATCTGGTAAGTTCAAGCTTTTTTTTTATCCTTTTCATTGCTGTTATGTGGAATAAACAACCAATATTTTAAAAACAATATTACACTATTGGCCTCCTCTTTCTGGGGCTCCTTGTGGAGCTTTTACCACCCACAGAGCAGTTGTGCCAGTGCTGACAGCGAAGTTTTGAGCAGTGAGGGACATCAGACAAGACCAGACCTTGTCCATCTTAAAGGGACCTCCAGGTTACTGAGAGTGTTATCTCTAAATGTGCACATTGATTGCGCATCTGGTGAGTGCGCAGTCTTTACAATTTTGGCCACATCACCACCGCAAAGGATAAGACCACCAGATATTGAAGATCATCACGATCTCCTATGCACTTCATTTTGGACTATATAAGGATCATTAATTGATTTCTTGGCACTTCATACACCATTGGTCTCTACACAGTGACATAATATATCACCATTAAATCACTTTATTTCATTGTTAGCACTTTACAACTGGTGCCACTTTTATACTTGCTTGTTTTTTTATATGTGTATATATGCATATTACTGTTTGAGAGTGACACTATTCTATGGTACCACTAAGTCACTTTATTATAGTCAGCACTATGTCACTGATTATTTTATGATCTAAAAAATTTTGGTCTGCATATGATTATAACAGTTTTAGCGCTACACCCTATTTTATATTGACAAAGTATTGACTTCGGGGGACTGAATACAAATGCATGCCACACTTTTCACATATTTATTTGTAAAAATTTTTGTAAACCATTTATAATTTTCCTTCCACTTAACAATTATGTGCCACTTTGTGTTGGTCTATCACATAAAATCCCAATAAAATACATTTACGTTTTTGGTTGTCACATTACAAAATATGCAAAATTTCAAGGTGTGTGAATACTTTTTCAAGGCACTGTGTATGTGTGTGTATATATATATATATATATATATATATATATATATACAGTATAGTATATATATATATATATATATATATTTATATGCACTGTATATTCAAATCACTGCATAGAAATACGTATGTACCCAGAGTTCCAGCTTTGTAATTGTCAATTGTGTTTAAACAAAGGGGCATCAAGGAAACCTGCCAAACATAGACTGAGCAGACTACTCAAATCTTGTACATGTGGTGGATGGCATTCAGACTCAATTAATGTCCCAATGTGACTAAGCATGGATGTGTCCAGGAAGGGCATATGGACCAAAAGTTGTCACAGATTGGCTGTCCATAACATAGTTATTCTCATATATATAGGACAATCCAATATGGAAGACAGATATGTGGACCAAAGCAGGGGTGTGGACCAATAGGCATAAAAGTAGGTTTTCTGCAATTATAAAAATCAATTTAAAGCCCCACTCACACTCATTAACCCCACTGGTAGATTAGTATGAATATAAGTGTTACCGTATTTTTCGCTCCATAAGACGCACCTGACCATAAGACGCACCTAGGTTTTAGAGGCAGAAAACAGGAAAAAAAAATTCTGAACTAATGGACTGCAGACATAGTACAGGAGATGACCAGAGACTGCGGACACAGTACAGGAGATGACCAGAGACTGCGGACACAGTACAGGAGATGACCAGAGACTGCGGACACAGTACAGAAGATGACCAGAGACTGCGGACACAGTTCAGGGGATGACCAGAGACTGCGGCCACAGTACAGGAGATGACCAGAGACTGCGGACACAGTACAGGAGATGACCAGAGACTGCGGACACAGTACAGGAGATGACCAGAGACTGCGGACACAGTACAGGAGATGACCAGAGACTGCGGACATAGTACAGGAGATGACCAGAGACTGCGGACATAGTACAGGAGATGACCAGAGACTGCGGACATAGTACAGGAGATGACCAGAGACTGCGGACATAGTACAGGAGATGACCAGAGACTGCAGACACAGTACAGGAGATGACCAGAGACTGTGGACATACTACAGGAGATGACCAGAGACTGCGGACACAGTACAGGAGATGACCAGAGACTGCGGACACAGTACAGGAGATGACCAGAGACTGCGGACATACTACAGGAGATGACCAGAGACTGCGGACACAGCACAGGAGATGACCAGAGACTGCGGACAGCACAGGAGATGACCAGAGACTGCGGACACAGTACAGGAGACGACCAGAGACTGCGGACATACTACAGGAGATGACCAGAGACTGCGGACACAGTACAGGAGATGACCAGAGACTGCGGACACAGTACAGGAGATGACCAGAGACTGCGGACACAGTACAGGAGATGACCAGAGACTGCGGACACAGTACAGGAGATGACCAGAGACTGTGGACATACTACAGGAGATGACCAGAGACTGCGGACACAGCACAGGAGATGACCAGAGACTGCGGACACAGCACAGGAGATGACCAGAGACTGCGGACACAGTACAGGATATGACCAGAGACTGCGGACAGCACAGGAGATGACCAGAGACTGCAGACACAGTACAGGAGATGACCAGAGACTGCAGACACAGTACAGGAGATGACCAGAGACTGCGGACATAGTTCAGGGGATGACCAGAGACTGCGGCCACAGTACAGGAGATGACCAGAGACTGCGGACATAGTACAGGGATGACCAGAGACTGCGGACACAGTACAGGGATGAACAGAGACTGCGGACACAGTACAGGGATGACCAGAGACTGCGGACACAGTACAGGGATGACCAGAGACTGCGGACAGTACAGGGATGACCAGAGACTGCGGACACAGTACAGGGATGACCAGAGACTGTGGATAGTACAGGGGATGACTGCTGACCTTTGGGGAGGGGAGGGGGGGGAGCGGGTACCTGAATTTGACAGATACCCGCTCCCACTTCCGTGGAGTTGTTCTTTCATCTTACCTGTTCCTCTATCCAGCCGCGCGCTGTCTTCCCGGCTTCTGTAATGGCGCTCGGCATGACAGCCGGGTGCCCAGTGCGCATGAGCGAGAAGCACTTGCGCTTTGTGATTGGTCCGGCGGCTTCTGGGATCTGTCATGTGTCCCGTCCCAGGTGCCGCCTTACCATTCACAAAAAGCACCGCTTCCTGCGCATGCGCACTTGGCACTCGGCTGTCATGCCCACACTACAGAAGCCGGGAAGACCGCGCCGCTGGATAGAGGAACGGGTAAGATGAAAGAACAACTCCACGGAAGTGGGAGCGGGTATCTGTCAAATTCAGGTACCCGCTCCCCCTCCCTCCCCAAAGGTCAGCAGTCATCTCTATAAGGTCCCGCTGTAGAGCTGAGCGGCCGGCCCGGTATTCTGACACGGCGGCAGTGGACCGGCCGCTCCATATTCGCTCCATAAGACGCACTGACATTTCCCCCCCTTTTTTTGGGGGAAAAAGGTGCGTCTTATGGTGCGAAAAATACGGTATATCCTGTGGTCCAGAAGAGGAAATGAGGCTTGCATCATCACATCAGACTAGTGTAAGGCAGGCCATGCATAATACAATTTTCTTACAATTTTCTGTACAATTTCTATGCAATTTGGTTTAGATTTACCTTCAACTACTGTATGTAGTGCAAGGGCCTACCTAACTGGATACAATTGAAAGTGTTGTTTAGGTTTGACCTCATATATGGTTTTTGGTAAACATAAAGGAAAATCGTACAAGAAAATTGAATAATGTATGGCCAGTCCATACAGTTCCTTTTATGTTCAATTCACTTCCCTCACACAGCTGGCCATCAATAGAAAAAGGTATCCCTACAGATCATATCATTAGACATTGTCATCTCACTCCTAAGAGCCAAAGTGCTGGAAACCCCCTGACTCTGTGTATTTAGCACCCCCTTACTTTGTGCCTTGGGCACAGCCTAACTTTGCATGTGCTTTGCACCTCCTCTGTGCACTCATCATACTTGACTGTACTGTACTGAGCACCCCCTGACTTTGTGTGTACTAAGCACCCCCTGACTTTGTGTGTACTAAGCACCCCCTGACTTTGTGTGTGTAGCACCCCCTGACTTTGTGTGTACTAAGCACCCCCTGACTTTGTGTGTGCTGAGCGCCCTCTGACTTTGTGTGTAATAAGCACCCCCTGACTTTGTGTGTACTAAGCACCCCCTGACTTTGTGTGTGCTGAGCGTCCTCTGACTTTGTGTGTACTGAGCACCCTCTGACTTTGTGTGTACCAAGGTCCCCCTGACTTTGTGTGTGCCGAGCACCCCGACTTTGTGTGTGCTGAGCACCCCCTGACTTTGTGTGTACTGAGGTCCCCCTGACTTTGTGTGTGCCAAGCACCCCCTGACTTTGTGTGTGAGGTCCGAGCACACCCCTGACTTTGTGTGTACCAAGGTCCCCCTGACTTCGTGTGTCCCGAGCACCCTCTGACTTTGTGTGTGCCGAGCACCCTCTGACTTTGTGTGTGCCGAGCACCCCCTGACTTTGTGTGTGCCGAGCACCCCCTGACTTTGTGTGTGCCGAGCACCCTCTGACTTTGTGTGTGCCGAGCACCCTCTGACTTTGTGTGTGCCGAGCACCCCCTGACTTTGTGTGTGCCGAGCACCCCTGACTTTGTGTGTGCCGAGCACCCTCTGACTTTGTGTGTGCCGAGCACCCTCTGACTTTGTGTGTGGCCGAGCACCCTCTGACTTTGTGTGTGCCGAGCACCCTCTGACTTTGTGTGTACCGAGCACCCTCTGACTTTGTGTGTACCAAGGTCCCCCTGACTTTGTGTGTCCCGAGCACCCTCTGACTTTGTGTGTACCGAGCACCCTCTGACTTTGTGTGTACCAAGGTCCCCCTGACTTTGTGTGTGCCGAGCACCCCCTGACTTTGTGTGTGCCGAGCACCCTCTGACTTTGTGTGTGCCGAGCACCCTCTGACTTTGTGTGTGCCGAGCACCGTCTGACTTTGTGTGTGCCGAGCACCGTCTGACTTTGTGTGTGCCGAGCACCCCCTGACTTTGTGTGGGCCGAGCACCCCCTGACTTTGTGTGTGCCGAGCACCCCCTGACTTTGTGTGGGCCGAGCACCCCCTGACTTTGTGTGGGCCGAGCACCCTCTGACTTTGTGTGTGCCGAGCACCCTCTGACTTTGTGTGTGCCGAGCACCCCCTGACTTTGTGTTTGCTGAACATCCCCTGACTTTGTGTGTGCCGAGCACCCCCTGACTTTGTGTTTGCTGAACATCCCCTGACTTTGTGTGTGCTGAGAACCTTCCAACTCTGTTAGTACTAAGCACCCTCTGACTTTGTGTGTACTGAGCACCCACTGAATCTGTGTACTGAGCACCCCCAACTCTGTAAGTACAAAGCACCCACTGATGTTGTGTGGTCTGAGCACCCCATGACTTTGTGTGGGCTGAGCATCCCCTAATGTTGTGTGTACTGAGTACCACCTGACTTTGTCTGTGCTGAGCACCTCCTGACCCTGTGTACTGAGCACCCCCTAAAATTGTGTATTGAGAAACTCCTAACTTTGTGTGTATTGGCACCCCCTGACTAAGTGTGTGCTGACCCCCTTACCCTGCATGCACTAAACAACTCCCAAGCTGTGCCTTAGTTGGTGTAATTAACCAAATAATACAGCATACGTAAGTGCTTAGTAAAGTATTTTACTTCATCTTGTGTTCAGACAGGAACTTTCCCTGCAAGTCTAGACCTCACCTGATGCTACAGCTTTGTTTATGAAAAGGAACACAGAGGCGCCTCTAAGTGCAGACTGTTGTGCATTTATTCAAACCAAAAAGTGTAGATCCACTCACATTTGGTAGGATAAATCAGGCATAATGATAGTCCATCTCAGGTGGAATAAAGATTGGCACTCGCGTTGTAAGTGTCATAACCGCCGCTCAGCTGTTATTCTGTGATTCCATTCTTGGAGGGACTTGCTTTGTTTTATGTTATCTGCTATTTCAAATCTACTTTTTGTACTTGACATAAAACCCTCTATATGTCACCAGTGGTCATAACAATAGCGCCATACTCTCTTCTTACTACAACTCTGTTTATGAATATACAACTCCATACAGAGTGTTCCAAGAGGGTGTTGCAGAGTCATGCACAACACCAGCAATTCTAAATCCACCATCAGGGCTGCCGTTAGAAACCACAGGGCCCCATACAGCAAACCTGACAGGGCCCTCCCCCCAAAAAAAACCTCCTTTACTTTGCTTCAGTTATGAATGTACACCGTGAGAAATAGGTACCGATCACTTGCTGTGTTCATCCATCTTGCTGTGGGTGAAGGATCCTATTGTGTGTAATCTCCTCGATTGTAAGCTCGAAAGAGCAGAACCCCTCGTGTATTGCTTTGTTACTGTATTGTCTCATGTTCTGTCCCCCACCTAATGTACAGCGCTGAGCAAACCTTCTGGCGCTATATAAATACTGTATAATAATAATAATAATTGTGTGCTTGCAGTTACCGGTGGGAAGGAGAGGAGGGAACCAAGGAGCACTGCAGGGGTGGGCACACAGAGGGGCCTGGGCAACAATGTATGATGCACAGGGAGGTGATGATGCGAGGGGGGGGGCAATTACTGGAATCGATTCCCTGTATGTCTCTCTGCAGCAGCTGAATGCTAGCGGGAAGGAGAGGAGAAGAATCCATCTTTCAGCTGCTGCAGAGAGAGCCATACAGGAGATCGGTTCCAGTAATTGTATTCCCACCCTGCTGATCATCCTCCCTATACACATCTGATTTACCCAGCTGCCTGGGCCCCCCTGCTGGCCTGGGCCCCATACAGGAGGACCGGTGGTACCCCCTTATCCACAGCCCTGCCCACCAGCCTTTAGAGAAACAGGAACAGGCTATTAGGCTCCTTCCCATCCTTTCTCCCTTCACCATGCTAGTTGCAAAACTTCAGTAGATATTGAAGGGATTTTAGTGTACCAAGCTTTGGTTTAACATATGTTTTAGTGAGAGGTATTTAGTTGTGTATACAATTGGCATTTAGCTTCCATCACTTCCATGTAGCAACAACAGTGAAAGTCATTTCTGTCTAGTTGTTGCTGGTTACAGCACTTTGCATACAGTCTCCAATTCACCAAGAACAAATGACATCATGGAAGCACAATTCACAGAAAGCTAAGTTTCTGATACCCAAGGTCTTTTGTTTCCACTGAACTACTAGGCCACATTTTCATAACTATGCACACTGAAAATGATCATCTCCACCATGAAAAGGTACAAATGACCAGAAAGTCAGACAAGCTCTAAATCAACATGACCCCATTCACATTAGGCTGGCTGGCATCTCTGAAAATGTACTGCTAATTACTTGATATATATTATTAATGCATGCCTATACGGTGTGAAAATAATGGAGGTGGCTTATTTCCTAACTATGAAAATTCCTAACATGTGCTATGTGTACTGATCTATTGAAGGACACTTTTGACACA